TTAATAAAACAATGACTTGATGCGGATATCTGGATTGCAGCTATAAACATAGAAAACGGGTTTTAAGAAAACTGTTACTAGAAATCCGATAGATCTAACTGCAGCGGAGGATCCTTTAGCTATGCATTAAATATTTATCGTCTGTGAGATTAAGCAATGTGCTGCTTGTAAAGTTACAGCCTACTTATCTTTGGGAATTCATACGAAATAATCCTCTATATGTAAATTAATACGTAATACAATAATAAAGCCAAATTAGGTAGAATATTTGCCCCAAAACTTTGTGTGTGCGCACTATAAAGGTTTTAAGGTATTTTGTTTTGTATGGTATAATTCATAACAAAAGCTTAGGTAAATATAATCTTTGTTTGGAACATATAACAGAGTGATTAACTGGAGCATTTGAAAGCAATACGGTTTGAGAATTTATATCTATTCCAGAAAAGTGTTCTCTCAAAGCATATTTCGTCGACACGCAACGGCGCCATATTTTAAGGACAAGTGCTTATTGGTGTGATCGGTATAGGACGAGTTAATCATTTATATATAGAGATATCGATTGTGCTGTTCGTGTAACAATTGCTTCTGCTTTGTCACGTACACTTAGGCACGCTGCTTCTGTTGAAAGGCACTGCGAGAGGATTGATTCTTCGTAGTGACAGAATACTGACCGCAATCAATAGTCGACATATTCAATGCAGAATTTCAATACTGTGGAAATCTGGTACAGAGTTCTTTTGGATTTGGGACAGGAGTGTGGGGGTCCCATAACGATTTGGGAATTTGGATGGGTGGATTTTGTTTATTGCTTTTTTTGTTAAATTTTGACACTCTGTTTAAAAGTTATCTAAATTTAAAGTGCAATACATTAGCCATCTAAGGCTATGGCAAGGTGTTTCTAATTTTTCTGAATTATTTTCTAATTTAACGCCATACATGTTTAGTGTAGTAGGAAAGAGAAACAATTTTTAACCTTAAAATAGGTGAAATAATTTCAAATGAAAGCGTTCTAATTTTCACGTTTATATCTCAAGCGAGTTGGCCGTGAGAGCTTTGGTCCCATCTTTAATAACGACCCTGTATATAGTTCATTATTTAATACTAAGGTTTGACAAATTTGTTCTTCAAGTAGTACTTCCCATTCTCATTTACAATAAAGTTTATTTATAAACCTGGTAATCCTTTAGGAAAATAGTTACACCAATTTTTATTCAATGGTTACACTTAACACAAAGTATAAAAGAGTTTGTAATATGTCAAACATCTTACAACTAAAAACTATACTTAGTTGTAATCGAAGTGCATTTATTATTAATCCATGTAACAACCTGTTGTTGCGTTGAATCTACCAATGCGCTTTAGTGTGTTAGGAGTGTAGTTGATACAACTGGAAATGGAAAAATATCACTTTTGTTTTTGTCGTTGAAATGACAGGTCTTATTTTCAGAAAGATGTTGAGATCTCATGTGGAAAATCCAGAGGCACCAAGCTAAAATTGTCTAAAGTATTTAATCTAAGCGTATTTACGCGATTGGGGATTGTTACGCCGGGTACTCATTGGCGAACTGCAACTGTAACCAACCGTTACTGTATCAGATCGTCGTCAAGTACGTACGTTCTTGGTTCATGCGAACTGTCTGGATCCGCAGTGTTCGCAGAGAGCTCGCGATGTCGATAAGTAGCGAAATGATTACCAGTGCTGCGTATATATTAATCGACGCACTAATAGAGGAAGATAAACGTCCAAGACGATGGTGGCGTCATAAAATATACGAAGAGAGCAGCGGATCTTCGTAATTTACAGCTTTAAAATTCCAGCACATCAGTGGCCATTACAAAAATTTTACTCGCATGACTCCAACAGATTTTGAATATATCATTAATTTAATTGGTCCTAAGATTCAGAAAAAAATGCCAATTGCAGACAAGCGATTTCAGTGCAAGACAGGTTAGCAGTGACATTAAGGTTTTTGGTGACGGGTGATTCTGTTACAAGCCTGCAGTATTTATTTGGTATATCTCTAAACAAGCCATTAGCCAGATTATTCCAGAGGTAAGCGAGGCAATCATCGATGGATTAAAAGAACACGTCAATGTAAGTAAATGAAAATTTATTCCCTTAATATAAGTATTGCAGACTCAGGTATAACAAATGTAACTAAATTAGATCTTGAATATCAGGGTACTGTGAACCTGAACTTCCAAGTGCATAGGAAACTGATGTTTCCTCTTGAAAAAGTTGAGTTGCTACCTGTCGATGGGTGTTCTGAGTCTGAATGCGGAGAGTGAGATGCGTTTGTTTGTGGGCTTCCAAGTGGAGAGGATGTTAAGCTTGTTGAGGATGTAGTGGGCCTTTGTTGGTAACTACTGTAGTTGTGAACTGGATGACCAAGCAAAGAGCTGGTTGAGGAGTAACAATTTTCATGTGTCTCTTTGCTGAACTGGCCTAATGTGCACCCCAGCACTTGCAAGAACCTAAAGTCAGGATTTATTGATCCGTGCAAGTATAATGTGCGTACCACATTAAAGTTAATATTGTTTAATCGCATAATTTATTTAAATTAACACATTGTAATTTACCTATTATTATTTTTGCCAACTTTTATCCCTAAACGGAAGATTCCCTTTTTTGCCAAAGAAGGAAAATTGTTCCGATAATGCATCAGATAGTAAGGGAGCAAGGCATCTACGAATACATTCATACAAATTAGCTTCTCCAACAGATGAGAAAAATTGAACCTGCAAAAAATATATTGGTATAAATTTAAATGAAATACAAAACATTGCTTTCTACAGGGCATTTTTTTAATCAGAGCGGTGTGTCATAGACAACAATGACGTCATGAATCAATATTGATGTCGTGTGTAAAATTGAAGGTTATAAAGCATGTTTTAAATTAACGCAAGAAACAAATTTACAGCAGCTTAACTTTGACAAATCATTAATACCGGTACCCTTCATCGTACTACCAACATAAATGCTGTTTCCGATTCTCAAAATCGAGATTAAATCCAAGATCTGACGCTTGCAAATTGCGTTTTATTCGATAAGAGTGTCAATGTCGCTCATATATGATCGCTCTGTATATTGTGCTACTTTCAGTTTGTTTTTATAGTGGAAATTCACGTATTAACAAACATTATATCAAAGGTAATTAAACATCATTATTATCTCTCTATTTTGGAGCTCTGGCACTCGAATGTAGAAGACAGTTTTCGATTCCTGCATGTGATTAAATAAAATGTTTTGTTTCACGTCGCACTATTTATAAACCATTATATTCAAATTTAAGCATAGACACTCAAATGCTTGTGAAGGAAACATATTCTCGATAAATTGGTTAGGATAATGGTATAAACTTTCCTATCCCTCTTTATGTCTGTCTATTATGCTTACGGTTCCTAACGCAAAATCCGATAGGCTTACAACTACAATTAATCTGTGCTACAACAAAAAGTCTATATCCTATATGATAAGTTTCACTGGTATAACTTGCTCTACCTTGCTTTACTCTGAATATCAGAATATATGTTAAAACAGAATAATGAATAATTTTTTATTTTATAAATTGAACCTTTCTTAGCACACATTTATAGATTCTTATCGGATGTTGCTGCTACAGCCTATTTTTATGACATGTCGTTCGATGAAATAAATAAAAACTATCCCAGGTGCGTGAAGTTAGCACGACATTGGAAGCACAAACAATTTTTTTTGTGCCAATCGTTTGTGCTTTGTTTGTGCGTGATTGTGCACGAAAAAGTTTTTTGGCACGTCCCACCATTTTTTAGATATGAGGTACCGTGTTTCCGTGCCAACTTCACGCCATTTTGGAAGCACAAACGAACTTAATTATGTCAATCGTTTGTGCCTTGTTTGTGCTTGACTGTGCACACAAAAGTTTTTTGGTACGTCTGCCCATTTTTTAGATATGGGGTACCGTATTTCCGTGCCAACTTCACGCCATTTTGGAAGCACAAACGAATTTTAATGTGTCAATCGTTTGGACTTTGTTTGTGCTTGATTGTGCACTAAAAAGTTTTTTGGCACGTCTGCTCATTTTTTAGATATGGGGTACCGTGTTTCCGTGCCAACTTCACGCCACTTTGGAAGCACAAACAAATTTTATTGTGTCAATCGTTTGTGCTTTGTTTGTGCTTGATTGTGCACAAAAAAGTTTTTTGGCACGTCTGCCCATTTTTTAGATATGGGGTCCGTGTTTCCGTGCCAACTTCACGCCACTTTGGAAGCACAAACAAATTTTATTGTGTCAATCGTTTGTGCTTTGTTTGTGCTTGATTGTGCACAAAAAAGTTTTTTGGCACGTCTGCCCATTTTTTAGATATGGGGTTCCGTGTTTCCGTGCCAACTTCATGCCGTTTTGGAAGCACAAACGAATTTTAATGTGTCAATCGTTTGGACTTTGTTTGTGCTTGATTGTGCACGAAAAAAACTTGTTGGCACGTTTTACCTTTTTTCAGTTATGAGGTACCGTGTTTCCGTCCCAACTTCACGCCATTTTAAAAGCACAAACCAAACATGTTTATGTCAATCGTTTGTGCTTTGTTTGTGTTTGATTGTGTAGAAAAAAGTTTATTAGGCACGTTCTAACATTTTTTCAAATTCAATAATGACATATGTTTAAAATTTTATTTATATTTACTATAACACATACAATAAATTGGAAATCTTATTTTTTCTATAATACATAATGTCCTACTAAGTATAAAAACTAAATAAATCATTATGATAAAACTTAAATTATAGCATACGTAACTCTAAATAAAAAAAAAATAGATGTAATTTTATAGAACCTTCAAGTCTTAAATCGAATATATTAATAAATGAGGTAGAATAATGGTGTTCGATGAAACTGTTAATTTCTTTTTTTCTAAGTCATTATATACTTCCCAAGTTCCATCCACTCTGCGACTTAGGCATGTATAGTGACCAATTCGTTTATCGAAATCGTCTATTTTTCCAATTGGTGGAATAAAATTTATTGCTGATCGTAACAAATAAGAACTAGAAGAATATTTAAACTTTACAGATAGGGGAATGTCTAATAAAGAAGTTGTACCGCAATCACACGTATCAATAAACAAAATATTAGACAATTCTGTTGTAAAATTGCATTTATTGAACATTAAGCAGTCTTCTGCAGACTGGATAAGATCTTTGAATCCATTTTTTTTAATAATATTAATATTTATTGGTATTGTTTTAGAACATAATGTTTGATGTGTAACATCACATTCTTTACTATCGCATATATTTGTTGTGCAAGTACTGTGGAAATCATCTCCTAGAAAATATTGCAAAACATTTACGGCGTTCATCGCGCACTCCACACGGATAGTATTATTAATTAAAGTGGTTTTTCGAAATTCAAAATTAGAAGATAGGTAAATTTCCCCTCTCAACTTATAAGTATGCAATTTTGTTGTGCCAGTTGCCAACTGTTTTACTATTTCCACTACTTGAGGTGATAACATCTGCTCCATACAAATTTGCACTACATTGCTATCACAATACGTAGTTGTTAACCCCTGTATTACGGAATCTAACGGACAAGTATCCACAAATCTGTATTTTTTCTTATTTAAATTAACACATTTATGTAATAAATTGCCATTAGTTAAAATACCGATTTTAATTTTTTTGCCTTCGGTGACATGCAGTATTTCAGGTGCTGCTGCCCCATAGTACGACTTTCGTTTCTTGACACTAGTACCTAAATTTCGCCAATTTTCGTATGCATCTGTTTCATCTGCAACAAATATTGTATCAAGTGTCATACTTTAATCAATTTTACACATTACGTACCTTTGATTGTCATAATTTGAAGTTCATCCGGTTCATCATTCTTCTTATTTTCACCCAAGTTTTCTTTATCCGAAGCAACAGAAGTTATAGCTACAAATTCCAATAAACAAGCATGGTATTAATAATTTAAGTTTATATTACATACCTTCACTTTTATTTGGTTCCCTTGTGACTTTTTTTTCATCGTCAGTCGCAAATGTGTTTCCAACTTCATCTGCAAGTAACATCAGCATTTAGTGTGTATAATTTATTAAACATGAATACTTTACCTATCTTCATTTTAGCTAGTCATTTGTCCTTGAATTGCCTCATAATGGTGTAAAAAAAATTTATCAACTTCCATTGGCGTGTAATAATTCTTAAACGTGCGATTTTTTAAGTCATTGAAATAACTTTCAACAATGGCAGATGATTGAGTAGCAAATCCATACATAAATGTTTTTCTCATAACACCACTCCATAAAACAAAAGTCTTAAATAAAAATCTTAAGTCAGTAGTCACATTTGGGCAATAATGAAAGTTTTCATTGTCTGTTGACATTGTGCATTGTGTTAACGATTTTTCAAATATGGCATCAAACCAAGATAAAATTTCATAATTTGAATATTCTTCGGACGTTGATTGTAAATTATGTTGATTTGCTTCATCTTCTAAATCACTTGATATCTCTAACGTGGGTAAACCAGAAATTAAGCCTTTTAACTTCAATTTTTGTACTTCACATGGAGTTAAGGTACCTTCATTGTCTGCTCCACTATATTCACTATTAGCGATAATTAACAGGCCTTCTAACAATAATGCGACTTCTTCTAAGGTTTCACATTTTATTAATAATATTATGGCTCCTACATAAAAATCATGTAGCAGTCGAGGGTTTTTAATTGAATCCCATCGGCATATAATATTTATTATGTGAGCATAATCTACTCGTAAATATACCTCAGGCACTTCACAATTTTCATTACTCAACAATTTATAACATATTTTTAAATAATTACTTAACGACATATTTAAAAATGCCCATGCAACTCCCCCTAAAAGTGCTAATGAATGGTCAGTGACTACCACTTTTGGCAAAATACATCCCGATTTAACCCAAGTCTTTAACCAAAAAGAAATAGAATTTGTGTCGTGTGCTTCTGACAGCATTTGACAAACGGGTATTTGATTTTTTCCTAAATTGATTACCGCAGAATACAAAAATATATGACCTGATAATTTTTGTTGTGGTCTTTGCAATTTTTTAACCAACCCCCCTGTAGCATCAATCGCCAAAACAGAAACACTTTCAACTTTATTATAATGATTATATAGTTGCAGTTGTTCTATGGTCCAATAATGTAACATAAATTTGTCTAATGAAACTAATTGTATACTAGTCATATATGGAGGAGAATACTTTAAATTTAATAAATTTTCTATAGGACTTTTAAATTTATCTAAATCATTCATTTTTTTGTCGGAAAGTTCTTGCTTACACTTTCTAAGTCCATTTAAATTATAAATGGATCTTGAGTTGAATGGTAATTTTTTCTTCTGTTGTTGATAGGCTTCTTCCCTTTGCCAATTTATAGCTAATTTTCCATCGGCCAATTCTTTGCCTACTGTTGCTCGTAAATCGCCTTTTAATTTCCTTTTTTTAATGTTAGTATGCAATTGTTCATTTTTATTGCGTATGACAACGTTTATTTCTAATTCTTCATTTAAAGGTCCTTCTTCATTAATCATTTCTAACTGCGCACCGCATTCGCTGCAACTGCCATATATTCTTAAATATGGTCTTGAAGAAGCAGATATGTAGTGTTTCTTAAACCTCCAGATACAATTTCCTGACACAATAGAACTTAACTTTCTATTAATAATTTCAGTCCATCCAGCCTTTAATTTTACTTCAAACTTATTATTACGATAAAACACTTTTGTAGGTCGGATTTTTTCCCAATCGTCATTATTTACTTTAACCATGTGTTTCTCAAAGCATAGTTCTTCATCTTCAGATGTAGTACTTTCAAGAGAAGGTATTTCTTTATTTTGTTGTGCAATGTTTAAAACTTCATGAGAATTGTATCTATTGCACTTTACAATAGTGTATACGTATTTTGGCGATATTTTATGATGAAGGTATTCAGATACTTTTGACCAGACTAAAGCGGTGGGTCGATTTAAGCTAGATAAAATTTCCTCTTCGTGTGTAAGTAAAGCATCTACTATTTTTGCTTTAGACAACTGACTTTCTTTAGGCATTTTGAACTTACTCTTCAATTCTTGCAAATCCAACCTTTAGAATAAAACAATATTTATACATTTTTTAAAATGCACATATTAATATCCAGGGCGTCCCACAGTTTCGACCTTTATTTCTAGGTTTCTCTTTCTCACACAGGCCGTCGATTAATGAATGTAAAAAAATAGTTAATACAAAAGAAAAATACCTTAAAAGGTAGCACTTAATATTAATTGCATTAGGCCCAGTTGCACCAACTAAATTAAGGCGCACTTAAAGTTAAGTATAGCTTAAAAACCGTGGTAACCATTGTTGAGACAATGGTTGCTATGTATTTTTTAAATTTTATTATGCGAAATTTAAAGAAAACGCAATTTTAAAATTTAAGATGGTAATTACGCCCTCTGGTGATAATTTCCAGAACTTGAAAATATTTTCCAGCGATTATTCATGACCGATTTACCCAATAATTTTTTTTACCCCTAAGTCATACGACGAACAGTTCCCGAGATATGGCCGAGGAACAGTCTTATTGGGTCACCCGGTACATACACTGTGGCAAGTTAACGACGGGATGTAAGTAATTAACATAGAAATTTTCTGCGATTCCTGCTCCCCATTTCAACAGAAAAAATAAAAACACTTCCGAATAGATCATTAAAATTAACATTAGATGACACTAAAAAAGTGTGCCTATGCTTTTTTAGCATTAAAGTTAAATTAAACATTCAACAATTGGTAAAAATTGGTTAGCTTTTATTTACCTACCGCATTTGATACCTTATTTAACGCATGATGACACTTAAATCAAATCAAGTAAGGTAACAAATGCCGTAGGAAAATCACGGCTAACCAATTTTTAACAACTTTTTGTATTCTGTACCTTCACTTTTTATGCCATTAAAGAAGGGCCTAGGTACACCCTTTTAATATTATTAAATGCCCTTGTTAAATGCCTATTTTCATTATATTTCCAACGGCGTTTTTATTTTTTCTTTATATTAAAATAGGGAGCAGGAATCGCCAAAAATGTATTTTCTCATGATATTTCCCTATGTCCCGCTGTCAACTTACCACACTGTATGCGTATGTTTTACTAATATATTTTTTTTATTTGCGCAACATTTTAATTTATAAAATGAATTATTAAAATAATTTAAGTACCTAAGCTGTAAAATTAGAACATCACAGCTGTGACACGCAATAGTAATAAAGTAATAGCTGATTCCTAATTGCTGCTAACTTTGGGTTTTCTTACAAGAAAAACTACACAAACAACAAAACAAACATTCATAATAAGTGAAAAGTAAAATAAATTCGATACTGTTTTGATTTAATAGTAATAAAGTGTACTACATATTACTTCACGGACTCGAGTGCAAAGTTTGGTTTTCGTAAAATAAGTTGAAAACGATTACAAAACAATTCAATTTTCGTACCTACGAACTACCACGCCCTGGATATTAATAATAAGAAATGTTTTTATGCAATACAACTCCTCACTAAGTTTGTTATTATTGGAACTAGGAAGTTGGC